TTGTTAGAGTGGGCTCAGGGCATGACCCGTGCCCCAGGCTTCAAGTCATGCAACTCCTGTCGCCGTTCTATGCCCAGGAGCGACCCTCACACTGAGTGTCTTCGCTCCCTGGGTGAGACTCACATTAGTGACCGTTGCAAGATCTGTAGGTCGTTCAAGCGAAGGACCAAGAAGGAGAGAGACTTTAGACTCAGAGCTCTCCTGATGGAGTCGGCGCTGACCCCGACGCCGGTATGCAGATCGGACTCCGTGCCGGCCGCCACGTCATCGGTACATAGCGAGGCCCCTTCGACTAGTTGGCACCACTCTCCCTCCAAAAAGCAAGGGAAGGGACTGGCCTCGCAACGATGCTGCAGCAAGGATAAGGGGGAGGCTGGTCCCGCGCTGGGCAGCCCTCGATCCCCCCATGCTCAAAAGCTCCAACTCACGTGGAGCGGAGCAGCCCGGTACTGTCGGCCCAGGCATCCCCACCGGTATGGATGCCGTCGATGCCGGAGGTGGTGCAGGCTGTGAAGGACATTATGTCTTTGCCCATCTGGAGCTCACAAACGGGCCCGGGCCCTAGGTCGCAAGGCAAGCCCCCGTTGGGTGCCCACCAGGCCTCTCCGAGCAGCCGCAGTTCCCGCTCCGAGGATTGCTCCCTGCACTGCTCGGCACGCAGCAGCCACTCTTCTCACACCTCCCAGCCACCCTTGACGCCGTCCAGACCGTCCAGGGCACCGTCGGGACGGGGGTCGCGGGGATCCTCTCTGCCACCTGCCAGCGAGTGTAGGCACCGAGAGAGGCACTGAGAGCGCTCACCTGCTAGACATAGCCACTGGAGCCGCTCTCGATGGGACAGACATTGGCATTCCTGTTCCAGCTCCCGCTCGTCTGGATGTCACACCAGAGGCTCCCCTCGGGGTACTTCAGCATCAGGGCACCAAGCTTCGCGTCGCCATCATGCGTACCGAAGCAGTTCGTCGTATGGGTACCGTTCATCGATGTAGAGATCCCGGTCCCGAGCTAGATGACATCACAGACACCGCTCCTACTGCTCCCACGGCACCGAGTGCTCGTGGGCGATCTCGGCCTCAGCACCTGTCCATCCATCCTCGGCATGGTCT